CCCTTGAAGAACTGTAAGACTTACAGCAGTACGCCTACATTCCTTCTCAGGTTGATGATCCAAGTGGAAGTCGTCCGGACACAAACAGAATTACCAACAGCTAGATGACAGATGATATCAATTCAGTATATACAATATGAACTTATGTACAAAATCACACACCAAGCACATTGGACTGCTCATTGATGCGCTAACCTTTGAAGAAATGTAGGATTTACAGCAGTACGCCTACATTCCTTCTCAGGTTGACGCTCTAGGCTGGAAAATCTTCGGAGAGTTCATTTGCTGACCCCCTTCCATCATATATATTCTCCAATCTGAACGGTAACACACTCTTGTCATTGTATCGTAGAATGTAGATGACTAACAAACATACGACGTATCTGACCAACTAGGCGTCGGCACAGAATAATTTACACCAAAGATAATAGCATTCAAATAGTAACTTGAAACTAGAAATGCCTTTATTCATGCAAGTCAATTTAACAATTACTCTCTCGTTTACACTTGACTTATCCTCACTAAACTGAGCAATATCTTTCGTCTTTTCAAATGCACCAATACTATCAAAGTCATTGCACAAGATACTTGAGTTGACGGGCGTCTGTTTCATTGTGGATGACAACACCAACGACGACTGATTGATACCAGTTGATGAACTTAGCGGTGGATCAGAAGCTGTTCTTGTTCGGCTTTCAGAAAGTTGTCTAACTGTAAGATTACTTCCATTGCTGTCTTTTATTATTATATCCGGTTTAGCACTAGCATCTGATGATAGGTAGGCTACACGCTGTTCAGTTACACTGACAATCTCACAATTATCCGTAACTTCTACCACTGCATCTGCTCCTAAATCTACTTCACGTTCAGGTTGTACAGAACCTTTGTTCAACTTACCAGTAGTGGGCATTCCCCTCATTTCATCATGATCAACCAAAGATAAATGTGCACTATCATGATCATCATCACAAATATTCAATTTACCATCATCTATCTGGTCGACTTCATCATTTTCAAACTCTTTAATAACATCAGTGGAGGATTTGGGTTCTTCCTCACAAATCCCTAAAGATTTTATACCTTCACTCTGACTAGTAACATCTTGTAAACTTGTAGAGTCAGAACTGCACTCTGAAGCAGCAACTCTATTCTGTGACACTCTATTCAACAATGGCTTACTAGTTGCAACTACAGACTTCTTCAACACACCGTTATCGTCACACAATTCGGAGTCAGGCCTGGAGTTTACATTGAGCTTATCACTGAACTTGCTCACTGGTTCACAGTTCACCTTTGTATGCACCTCTTGCAAACGTGTAAAACACAACCGTGTTTGTCTTGCAGCTTGCAACTTATCTGTTGAGGATGTACTACGAAACCTGTTACACTCACTAGATCTATATGCATTACTAGACATCATGGAGCCTTCTCGATATCCACCTCTCTGAGGCCTATTCGTCATCAATGATTGCGTTTTACCCTCAGACTGCTCTATTCTAGGGGTGAGATGCAATATACTGGCAAACTTGCTCATAGATTGATTGACACTATCTTTTACTAGTTTCAGGATATCATCAAACTTTGGCTCGATACCCTCATCCTCCATGCGGGAGCTTATCTTCACCCACTTCCTTTGCAGTCGAGTAGGTAGGAGTCTTGCTATTACTTCTAGTATAAAACTCGAGTTGAGGTCACCCATGCAATTCATCGAAATCAATGCATTCTTGTAAATCAGCAAATTATTCAAAACTCAGTGAGTACCTTGGAGTCATCTTGTAGTTGACTACCATTACCCTTATCCGCCTCGAGTAATTTCCCTACAATCATCGAAGGTCTTCCAAACCTTTGACGTAGTATGCTCATAGCCTCGTAGTAGCCCTCTTTTGGCTTCATAAACTTACAGCACTGTATAGCTCTTGAAGCATCATCAGTGCAATACCTCATCAAATACATCAACTTCATTTCATCATTTAACAAAAAACTACTCAGCATGATCTGAAACCCCCTTACAAATTGTAAATAATCAGCTGGGTTTCCTTCGAAACACTGTGGTTCAAATTTTGGCCTATTATCCCTGGACGGCGACCTTATCATGCTTAACATCACACACATCATTACACATAACAGACAACTCAACACTACTTACTTTCATGCTTGCATCCAAGACGCTCTGTCCCTCCTTTGACCCAGGCATCACTGGACTTGACGGAAATTCCAGAATGTTCCAGATAATACTTGTCCAAATATGACTTGCAGGCACCAGGAAAGACAAACAGATACGATCAGAACCTGTCAGTCACGCCAGATATACTGTCAATGTCCAGCTCTTACCACACTGACCCTCACTCTGTCCCTCGAAGACTTTCAAAAACACTTTGTAATAACCAACGCGAAAAGCAGAACACAGATTAGCGACTGAAGAATCCTTTATTCTTACGCCAATATGCAACCAACAATAAGATTTTTGCACACAAGGTCTGGGAACAAATGTTATAACAACAAATCACGATAATACTTCTGATAGTATTTTATCTTCCACTGAACAGCAAACGATGAGACGATGACTGCTGGATGGATGGCTCCCACGAAAATTATGGGGGAATTGGGTTTGAGCAAACAACCATGAATTGATCGTTCAGTCTTCAGCTTCATTGACAATGACAAAGCAAGTGAATGGGGTATACCTATTGAACACATAAAAAAGCCTTAAAGATCATAAGGGATATATGAACCTCAGTTGGCTCATCGTCTCATTCTTCTGAGTTCCTTAATCACCTACAACATCTGAGTGGTCATATAATGTCGTGTTGTAGAGGCCCTACATTAACACTCTCCTCCAAAAGAATGTTAGTTGATTTTCAAAACATTCCATGAAATAATATTTGTAATATTATTCAGTCATTCATGTAAATGTTTACACAACCCACTCCTAACTAAACTCCGAAAAGAGAAGTGAAATTCACTTACAAGCCACATGTGCTTCCTACACCTTTGCGAATATTTCTCGAAAAATACACACGCAAACACATTCTTTAACACGCTGCTCTTGGTTTCCAGGACTTCCCCGAAGACGCCTAGATACCACCCTAATGAGCCTTATAACCGCTGGCTTCAAAAAGACGGGTCTTGCTAATTTCCCTAAGCCGTTTTCACCTTCGCCTATCTAACCAAACCATCTTTACTATGCAGCATCTGTTCCACGAGCCCGAATGGCCAATACTTTTTTACTGGAAAAGACTTATACTGCCATATATGAGCCTCCGACATATACATTCCTTATATCATACCCTTCAGTTTCCATAACTTTATTTCGAAGCCATGGTAATTGATATACACGTAGACGAATTTTACGTCGAGGTGTTGTAACTAGAATATCTTATCCTTCTAAAACAACCATGCTTGCAAATCTTCGTCTTGTGATTGAAGAAAACATCTGACATTCACGGTCGAATAAAGATGGGCCGGTTTCTAAACCAATCAATATACTTGCACCCAACATAAATGCTCAGAGAACTCCCAAAATAGAGCAATTTTCCATACACTTGTACTAACGCTTAGGCCGATAGCTGTCGTTGGCAAACTATCTGCGGCCGCTGATTTGCTCGTGACAGTATGCTTAAATATCTCACTTCGCGGCGAGTTTTTTTGACACTGTTGGGTATCAGAAAATCCTGTATGTATGAGTTTCCTTTCTGTGCTGTCAGTACCTATACTTTGCATATGATAAAATATTGCACATTAAAAGTTTGGGCTAAGATAACAAAGTCAACCATCATACTAGGATCAGGTGATTAGGCGATTCTGTATAAATTCAGTAGGTTTGGGAGCTCTTGTCATTAACGTTGAGGAATGGTACTCATAGGTGCAGTCGCTTTTACTCCCTGTGGGACTAGAGACTGTACTTGCTACTTCGATCACAGGATGCAGTGCTTTGATTTTGTGACGTTTGGCCACAATTCCTTTCAGTCATATTTACTATCACAGGTTGGATACTAGAAGGGAAAAGCATGCTTCTGTGCCCACTTATTTTTACTCCATTTTAATTCATGGTGCCCCTCATCTAAGACATACTAACAGACATAGATAGTTTGCGTAAGTATCCCCGGTGGCCTTATTATAAGCTTTAATCCAGTAGGTTTATTGGAAGTCCTTGTTACATTGCTAAATCCTGGCGGGTTGTCGCTACCTGTTGGCGGATGCATTTCACAATAACAATAAAAAGGAGGTACAAGAATAATCACCAAACGAAATAGAAGTGGTAAAGTATACATCTTGGCCTTTGATTTTTTGTTATTTCGCTCTGCGACAATCACACAGCAGTTACATAAGTCATGTTTATTTAACCAAAAGTGGAATATTATGGCATGAACGTAGCACTGGAGGATGCTTCGGTGATTCCACACGTTTAAGACAATCATAAATGAGTTCTGTTTAGAAATAATAGTGGAAAAATCTCACGGGATCCATCACGTTGATGATTCTGAATAAAGTATTCCCTATGGCAGAGAGAAAAACGCATACAAACAATAGACGTTCGTGCACCACATATCATACATTAGCCGCATCTCAATTAACCTCACTAAAGCCTTATGGTTTCTGTGAAAAATCTAAGTGGGCAGATATGGTAAAGATTTTTTCTTCAATCAACTAACTGAAACTTTTTAGCTGTTGATAGTGAGCATACATGTACGTCCCCGGAAGTATCTGCAATGCCATTTTCTGCCAGCAATACACAGCAGCTCAATTCAATTGGCAACAAACCCGTCAAGGTTCATTTTCATATGTTTTCAGATTAAAATTTTAAAGGTATCGTATGGTTCGCTGCAGTCCTCAGGTCAACATATAAAAGCAGAAAGAAAGTATTGTTTGTGTTGATTATCTATAAGAACAAAGATCAATAATTCGAGCGTTTTCAAGTCTTGAGTTTTGTTTCAAAGGATGACATGTGGATGTTGGATGTACTTGTTTTATCGTATCACTTTGTTAACTGACCGCCACGCATTGTGATTGTGGCGTTGACGATGACAGGTTGGTGTTCTTTGTAATAATGATTACTTCTCTGTGTAGTTAAATTTTTAGATATCGTCAAGCCATTTTGTGCTATTCTTCCGGAGATCTCCCGTCCCGAGCGGAAAATTCAGTTCAGAGAACGAGTATTATGGACTGGAATAACGTTGATGATCTTCCTGTTTTGCTGTCAAATACCACTTTTCGGCATCATGTCATCTGAATCTGCCGATCCTCTTTACTGGCTGCGTGTTATATCTGCTTCAAATAAAGGAACACTGATGGAACTGGGAATATCACCTATTATAACTTCTGGATTAATTATGCAGTTGTTAGCCGGCATACAGGTGTTGTCTGTTGGTGACGCCCCCAAAGACAGAGCTTTATTCAATGGAGCACAGAAATGTAAGATGCTTATAATGTTAACCTTTCAGTATTCGGCATGGTTATAACTGTTGGTCAAGCCTCTGTATATGTTATGTCTGGGATTTACGGTGCGCCTAGCGAATTAGGTGCAGGGATTTGTCTGCTAATAATATTTCAAGTTTGTTGTCACATTTGCTAATTATTTTGTTGCAGTTAACATTTGCAGGCCTCTTGGTTTTGATGTTAGATGAACTTCTTCAGAAAGGCTATGGTTTGGGGTCAGGCATATCATTGTTTATCGCAACCAACATATGCGAAACGATTGTATGGAAAGCAATTAGCCCAACTACCATCAACACCGGTCGAGGTAAGAACTTTGACTTTAGTTACAGCTTTTAGGTACTGAATTCGAGGGTGCAATTATATCATTGTTCCATTTGTTGGCGACACGCACAGATAAAGTTCGTGCATTAAGAGAGGCTTTTTACCGCCAAAATCTGCCAAATTTAATGAATATCCTTGCAACAATTCTAGTATTCGCAGTTGTTATTTATTTCCAAGTAAGTAAATACAGAGTTTAAACAGTTTTTAGAGTTTCAGAGTCGACATCGCAGTCAAGTCTATCCGTTATCGTGGTCAGACCACCTCCTACCCGATCAAACTTTTTTACACAAGTAATGCTCCAATTATGCTTCAGAGTGCACTTGTTTCAAATCTTTATGTTATGTCACAGGTGGGTAGTTGTTATCACTTATTCTTTTTGCATAGATGTTGGCCAGCAAATTTCGTGGTAATTTTTTGATCAACTTGTTGGGTGTATGGTCTGACGGTGAAGGGGGCTCTCGATCTGTGCCTATTGGGGGATTGTGTTACTATATGACGCCTCCAGATTCTTTGGGTGATATGCTTGTTGACCCAATACATGGCATTTTGTACATTGCTTTTATGCTTGGGAGCTGTGCATTCTTCAGCAAAATATGGATCGATGTTTCAAACTCCAGTGCCAAGGATGTTGTTAAGCAACTGAAAGAACAGCAAACTTTCGTTCCAGGGCATCGAGAAAATTCAATGGTCCATGAGCTGAATCGCTATATTCCGACAGCAGCTGCCCTGGGTGGTCTATGCATTGGTGCACTTTCTGTGTTGGCGGATTTCCTGGGTACGTAATCCTAATATCTCGAATGCTAAAAATAAGTCGAAGATAGTTTGTAATTTATCTTCGATTTTAGGCTAGTAATTGATATTTGAAATTATGAGTACGTACGGACTAACTTTCAGTATCTAGAAACTTTAAGATGATCTCATGGTGTTATGGATACCGTTCAGAATTCGTTAAGCACTCATTTTACTTATTCAAATGAGTGATATTTCTAGTTAATAATCTGTAAATTGTAGGCTACACATGGGTGTTTATGTAAGACAGCGCTAGTGCTGCTCTTCAAATCTAGTTACTAGAATATGCGATTTTGTTGAAGTAGTCTTTCTAAACGCTGTCATGATTCCGTAGCACTCACTTATTCTTCAGCGCTTGGAATGTTCTGCTTACAGCTTATCATATAATTAGACATAATACAGTAGCACGTTTTGTGTTTTAGGCATTCTGTTGCTGTAATGAGTTCTCTGTTAACCAGCTGCTTCAGACATACATAATATCTTATGAATCGTGGGCAATTAGAAATTTTTTGACATTCGACGGCACCATACCATCTAAATCCCATTACATTATTTAACACCCAGAGGTTGTTGCACACAAACTTAATTAGTAAGTTTATCGTTGGCTTTGGATTTCGATAGCAGTACTTAAAGTAGTCCTTCGTGATCCAATTTTTTTCATGGAGGAGCTGCATATATAAAAACCAATCCGTATTTGCAGACCGGTGAAATTTAATTTTAAAATTAATGGTTATAAGACCTTGGTAATGACGACCTAATTTCAAAACAAGGACATAAGGTAGCAGTCTTCTTATACTCAAGGTTAGTGGGGGTTTTCTTTTCATCCAGTATTGTTCATCTACGTGACCACATTGCCTTAAAGGCTATTTCACCTAGAGAGATTAACCAACAGGTTAAAGTATTTATTGCTGAAATCAGAGCATGTGATACAACGCTGTGTATGAAAGGGTTGTTGCAGATAAAAGTTCTAATTAGTTAATTACTTGTGTCCAGAAAATCACTATGTAAACCAGTGGTGTCCCGTCATCTTAGAGTGCAAGAGCAATTACTATTTAATTGTATAAATTCCTTAGGATGTTCAAAAGAATGCACAAGTACAATTTATCTTTTGAAAGTCAACTGGTTTTATTTCACTATACCTTATGATGTATTCTCAACTGTATATTAACATAGAAATGTGAAATCTCATGGTCTTATAGATTGATAGTAAATTAGTCTTGGGATTTCGCTTCATCATCTTCATGTTTGAGTCCTTGATAAGCGAGACATACGATGACTCAGTTATTCTCAACAAAAACCAAACTTCACTCGTCCTTTATTAAATATTTATACGTAGTATGCTAAATATGTGTGAATTTCGTTACCAACGTACTGTACTGATTCCTGCCAATTATTAAAAGAAATTTTTTCTTTTCAGGTGCTATTGGAAGTGGGACAGGTATCCTCATGGCTGTCACAACAATCTACCAGTATTACGAAGTGTTTGTTCGAGAACAGAGCGAGATGGGTGGTTCCATGAGTTCTCTGTGGTTATAAAGGAAATCTCGTTAATCTGCAGTTTTTTCAGATCCATCTGTCATTTCTTTCTAATCAATATTCGCAGTTGCAGTGTGCAAAATAATGATAAGCGTGAGAAAATGTCTTCGCATAGTTTGCCAAATGTTCGTAAAACCACCAAACTTTCGACTGTACATTTAGCAGGTTTTCACATCTGTAGCTTTGGTCATTATTCGCATAACCAACTGTTTGATTTCCTTTGTTCAGTATTTCTGTCCTTATATTCACTCAACGTGTACATTTTGGTTATCATTATTTGCTTCGTACCATAACTTGTGATCATTAAATGTTTCATTCCTTCAAGACTTCTTTTTAATGACGAGTGTCTTTTATCAATCCGACATCAATGGTAGAGATATTGTCATCACTCAAAAAACAGTTTGAAACTTAATACTGGATTTCCATTTGTATGTACTTATTTGAAGTAACGCTTAGTCAGACCCTATTTTCATAGTGGGTTGAATGCTTACACCTAGCAATATTTCTCTTGAGTTCCATATTCTAGGGTTGATGAGATCTCGGACTTAGATACCATTGATGTAGAGTATAGGACTAGTAGTTTCACAGTGAATACTTTCATTCCATGCATTTTGAAACCCACTATGTCTTGACAAGTGTGCAGTTTCCCATAGTAATAGTTAAAGTAAATGTTCCGTGTTGGTGGTAATTAGTTGCGTTTCGGGTGAGTTACTTCAGGAAATTGACCAGCTTTTGGAATTTCTAATCATTGTTTATAAACTGGTATTTTTATGAACGGAGTATCTCTAGTACTCCAACTTGTAGCTCACGATGCTTAAAGTATTCTTGACAGTTTATTATTGGATTTCTTAAGTGAATCAGAGATTTGTGTAACCAAGAAAACTTTGAACAGAGTAGATTGGAGATATTGACTCCAAGAGTGCAAGTCGCCCATAGCTTGTAAGTGTATCCAAGATATGAAGAACATTACCTTGTGTCACGAGACCTCTAGTCGGTCAATGTGGGGTTTTTCTTAGAGTGGATTTCAGTCACCGTTGTATCCCGAAATCTAAAGTTAAGGGCGTTATCACTAAACACAGATACGGTAAGGGGTATGAGGATTTTGATAAACGTGCACAGTGAAGAGTAAATACATCTGTAATTCGTGCTTAAGCTTCTCTACGATTGGATTTCTCATCCTGTCTGGAAATGTTCACTTCCTCTGTGTGTGTCGAAATAACAGTTTGTGACTTGATGAGTAAATGCCTTATTTTGGTCTGCTCACTAAGTCTCCACCCGGTTCTGTGTCAGCTTAGCATACCAGTTTCAGGAAAATGAATAAGCATGCATACTCGTATTCTTAACAAGTCTAACAATGAGGATTCGCAATCTTGTCGACTGGACTATTTTCTTTTTAAAACTACGGATAATACCTATCACGACATAAGAGAGAAACGTTTGTCAAAGGTATTTTCACGGTGTTTCCATTAGGTAATTATAAGAAAATAGTTTTTTCAGCTTGACACGAATGTATGTGTGATGAGAAATAAGTAATAATGACTAATAGCCTAGAGGCTAATATAATATATGAATAGGAAAATGGTCGCGTTATGTGGAATATAGAATTGAGGTCAACGTATGCGTATGAAACGGATTGCAATAATACCTTACGGCTGAAAATGAAGGTAACAAATGGTAAATACAAAATCAAATCCAGGGATTGAACGGACTTCTTTTGAAGAACTGGATTCGGCTTCTCTATGCCTATAGCAATGGCTGTTATTACTCAAATAATTCAGAAGTACACTGTCTAAGACAGATTTCTCTTTGTAAATGTTCGTGTACGCACTGAATAGTTTTTTGACTGAACATGGATGTGATACGTGAGTGTAACGTTGTACTGAGAGTATATGTTGCTTCACCACTCAACATTTATGTTCCTTTATTAGACATGGTTGTGCAAAAAAAAATAAAGCGCAAGTTGTTAACTTTAATTTATTGTCTGGGTACATATTGAGCTACTGACACTACCAGTTAAAAATCTAAGAAGCTACATTCGCAACTAAGCAGTTCGCACCTATTCCTTTAGCCTTCTTTTGTATATACTGACCAATAATATAAACTGAGAGGCAGTGGTTTATATCAGTTCATCATGGGAACTAGTTTTGTACCTCTTGACCGCAACGCTACTTTCAATCATTTGGACAATTCTTTGGAATTGTTTAGATACAGCAGTCTCCGGAAAGCTTACCAACTTTCTGGAAGCCGAATACCTACACGTGACATACAAATACTTATTACTACAGGTATGATCTAACCTTGGGCATGAAGACAATGTCATTTCACTACGCAAAGCTATAGAAATAACTAAAATCGCACTTATGTGGTAGACGGTGTTTGTATGACACACTGCAAAGTGTCGCTACAAGATGGTCGATGACGCGTTACTCTACTTCCTGAGGTAATCCTCTAGAAGTAGTCAACAAACCCACCCAGGTAGATTTGTTAACACTGCTTATTTGGGCCACCCTAAAAGTTACCGTGGTGTTTGCCAGCTGTCGACGTTCAGCGATAAATCACTGTGTGAATCCTTTCTCTACACTTGTGAAACCACGCCTTTGCAAGCTACAGGACATGTTCCATCAGTGTTCTCCCCGTAGAATTAATCAATGGTTTCATCCCGTAAGTCATTCGGAAATAGAACCATACGTTTCAGAATAGACGTAAAATTATCTTTCAGTAGATGTCATATTGAGATATGTGTTACGAATGCTGCCTCAGAGGTATTCCATATTATTCGGTGTTTGCTAGCTATGGAAGTGGTTTGAAAATCTGAGATAACATGACAAAGACCTCTAGAATGATTTTACTTGGTTGCATGTCACTTGTCGTAGGCTCTGAAAGATGATGTAAATCGGTGGCCGGAGACATTGTGAGATACTACTTGGAATCAATATCAACATATCATTACTTTTCTTCTATTTCTGAAAGTGATATTAGGTAACCAATGCTCTTTTGAAAGTCCTCGACAATTAAGCTTACCTACTTTTATTCGTTAATTATTATGTGCAGAGCATCTCTTAGTGATCATATTGTATTAAGTAAATAATAAACGCATTATGACCAGAAGGAAAGGCATAGTACACCGGCCAGTTTATTCATATATTAACCAGCCGTGACGCAACCGCCGAAATAGGAATCACAGTTCTCAATCATTTTACGCCTTGAAAATCAGTGATTTCACGTGAAAGTCAACTGATTGGATTTTGAGAACTGCTGAGATTCTTTGGTAATGTCGTTTCAAATATTCTAGTGAAGCAGGGAAAATCACTCTTCGTAATCTTCGACATCTTGAGAATTTCCCTCTGATCCCCCTTATTCCTCAGTCATGTTTGTGTTCTTCCTTTTATGTACTACCAAGAAGCGTAAGAAGATGAACTCGTAAATTTCTGTTCATTATTTTTTTTTATTACAGCTTGCATCCACACCGTATTTTTTGGTACAGGTTTGGAATTTTCAGCATGTGATATCGGTGGCCCAAATTTTGCAGGCCGACCACAGATATCAGGTATGCGTCGGCAAGGGATCGAACCCCGGACCATGTGCATGGTCAGCGAGTCCTAACCACTGTACCACCGACGTCCTATGTCAAACAGTTGGTGAACATATACAGCAATACTACAAGCACTATAGGTCTTTCAACATTAAAGCTGACTTACTGAGTGTCAAGCGTTAGTGGAATTGAAGCTTTCCCCTGCAGACTTCATCAATTCAACCAAACTATTAATTTCTTTGGACAATGTAATAACGATACATGCGACCGAATACACCCAGTCTGTTTTTACTTAGTCGATATCTTGTCAACCTCTTGCAATCAGAATAATGAAAGTTATTAGATGTAGCTCAATTCTAACTTCATCTCATTGGAGGAACAAATGTCAAACAATGCCTATGATTGTTCACGTCATGCGGATGAATCTAGACGCTAATTAAGTATAGTTTATAACGCACTGCTGCAACTATATGTACAACATAAGAGGAGTTTCTAGAAGAAAGACGGAGACTTAACAAGACACTGGGCAGCAGTTGCACGACATCTGATTGGCACAAGGTATCAAGTAGTGTCACCAATAGCTACAAGTGTCATGAACTACTTCAAGGCAATAAAAAGTAGGCTGAAGTTTGCAGAAGCTTTTGCTATCAAACGGTTTACAATTGATTAACCTGCCGAGAGAGAAGTCGCAACAAACTTCTTATAGGACTTTGACATCTAGCTGGTCCTATTATCTGTTTGACGGGAACGTTAATTTCTTTTCAATACTATTCAGTAGCATAATCAACTATTAAACACTATGCTTCACATATTTAAAAAAAAGCTTAATACTCAGATTTCTTTTATTTTGTTCACCACTAATTTTCTAATGACTTGTGCAACTTTACAGTATATGGTGCTCAGTGTCTTGTTAATTCTCCGTCTTTCTTCTAGAAACTCCTCTTATATTGTACAAATAGTTGCAGCTATGTGTTATAAACTATACTTAATTAGCGTTTGAATTCATCCGCATAACGTGAACATTCATAAGTATTGTTCGACATTTGTTTCTCCAATGATGACAAAGTTGTCTTGGTCTCTAATTAACATCGCGACTGCTAGCATTCGTTATCATTGTTGTTCCCACCATCAGAATGTAAGCTTCTGTCACGCGGAGTATCGCTAGCTAGGCATATCCAGTAAACTGACTGATATGACAGATAAGCTAGTTGTTTAGTACGTCCTAGTCGAAGACTTTGGAGAACAATTACACTAAGACGCTTACCGGTGAATTAAATCTTGATGAACGAGTTGAGACGCGTTACAATTAGTCACACCTGTTTACCTGAGTCTTTGAATCAACAGCCTCTTAACGAATGTCAACCATAACAAGAGGGTAATAGAGTTGCGGTACGTAAGTTACCTTACCATCCCTAACTAGCTTCATTTTTCTACCATCATGATAACTTTCACCTACAATCGTATCGTTGAACTGGAAATGATCAGACATACTGATGTGAATAGCTGTGTATATAAGGGTGTTTAGAAACGGAATCTGTTAGGTGTTCATCTCTTGCTGGCGGTTCCGAAACTTACCAAGAAATCGGTCTATAAATATATATACTATAACTAAGAAGGGACTGAAAGGTTTGGAATGACAAATTCTCGCCTTCATCAGTCCTGAGGCTACATCACTGACTTCCGTGTCTATATAGTGCAAATCACGACAGGCGATGCATGAAAGATGTCGCAAGTGTTAAAGTTCGATACTACGGAATGGAGAAATCTAAACCGAGCTTTGGCATCTGACG